CAAACAGCTCAGAGAGTGAGTGTGACATGTTCCTGCAGCCCCCGCTCTCCCTCTTCGTGCTGCAGCTGAAGTGACTAGCAAGCCCATGTCCCCTGCCTTTCCCTCCCCCTTCATGTCCTAATACTCTGTATCAAAAAGGCGCAGCTGGAGATCTCTTCTGCTCCCCCACCGATTCAGTCCCCCAGGCTTTGGTGGCCTGCTGTCCCATTTACGATCTCTTGCCAGACCCTTTGAGTTTCAATCTTTTTCCTGTCTGTCTGTCCTACCCACTACAGGTCTCCATGGGGAATAAATAAATCTCAGACTGATCAGAAACACACTGTGCATTAGGATACTTAGCACTGACTGCCCCATTCCTGCCTTGTCTAGTCCTCACATCTAGCTAGGTGTGTGGAGAGGACTTCAAAGAACTGGAAAAAAAATTACCCCTGCATGTTTCCATGCACAGAAGCAGACTTATAGGCTGATTTGCTCTGGGGATTTGTGACCAAAGCTCCCTGTCAGCTACTGTGAGATGGATTCGAAGGTCTTTCCTGCTTTGAATCCCCAAAGGTGGGATGGAGCAAAGCCATATCTGACAACCTGCGTCAGAGAGGGGAGAACTGGAGCTTTCACTTCCCTTTTCTTTGTCTGTACATCTGCCCCTTGTCTGTGCTGTATGGCATGCTCAGTGCTGCGTCTCCAAGGCAAAGCAACGAGGGGCACATTTGCAGCAAGCAAGGACATTGCTACAGGGGCGCTGCCTGCATGACAAATTTGGTTGCCTATCCTGTACCTCCAACCACTCTGCCTTTGAAGGCAGCACTTCTGCACATCCATGTTTGAGCTATACTTAAAAGCAGCAGCTGAGCTGGGAGTCTGCCTGGGACTCAGAGTACAGAGGGAGAGTTCCCAGGAAAGGCACAGACACTGCCAGCCTGATGCAACCTTCACCTCCCAGAGCCAGGAGAAGTGCTGGAACCATGGTACCTGGATCATGTATGGAGTGCTGCCCCTGTACGCAGCATGGACAGCAAGACAGGAGAGAGCAGCCTATCACCGAACTGGGAGAGACTAGAATTTGTGCGTATGGAGAGGGAGAGTGAACCAGTACAGCCCAGCATTCATCCCTGCTGGCCTTCCTGGTGCTTTCAGTTACCCAGACATCTGCTCTGCATTGTCCAGCTTAATCTCTGCCATTGCGATTAAACTGTGGGCACCAGAAATTCAAAATTGTGAGGCCAGCGTAGGACCATGCTAAATGGGCAGAACTGCAATGTGCAGGGCTTCCTGTCCACACTGAGCAAGCACTGCCTACAGACCAAAATTAGCTCAGCTGGACTTGCCCTTCAGCTTCACCCAGATCCACACAGGGCTTTAGGAGCCAAACTCCCATGGATTCAGGTGCCTAAATGGCATCAGATGCCAAATGCCATGAAGTGGCTCTGCATGGACAGTAGCTGTAAGCTCTTGTAAGCTACAGAGTGGTTACAAACCCTATTCTCCCCACTGAGAAGAGTGTCTGCATGTGGCAAAGGTACTGTGCAGCTCCTTTGACAGCCCTGTCTGGCCATAGTGTGCTGCTAGCCTCACCTGTACCAGCTCCTTGGGATTTCTGATACTTACAGTAGCTTCTCTGGAGCACAGCTGCAGCAGGAAGCAGAACATCTCTGAATGTCAAACCACTGCTTGACCTCACAGTGCTCTCCATGCAACAGACCCATATGTGGATGCAAAGTGGACAGAGCTGCTGCACAACATGAGTTTTGCTGGAATGAAACTGTGTTTGGAGAGCTTCTCCTGATCTACTGCAAGTTAACACAAGGTAATAGAGAGGTACAAGCCCCGGTTACACATCTGAGACTGATTAGCTGTATACTTAACACTTAACTCCTATCCATCCTGCCACCAACTTCAGTTTTTAGCAAGCTGCTGCTATTTCCTTCAAATGTGTGAGTCCCCTGTCTAGCCACACACAACTCCTTGAATTGGAGACATAAACAAGGGGATGGGATCCAAACACATGTGATGATTGAGGCAATAAGATGTGCAGGCTGGTTTCTGTGAGTATTTCTTGGTCCTAAAAGAAAGCACATTACAGCTCCAGCTGCTCAAAAGGTGAATCCCAATCCTAAACATGAACAGCTCTGTGATCCCTAATAGCTCGTTCTCAACGCTGTCTGAAGAGGAAATGGCATCTGTTTTACTTCTCATGGTGCTGGCATGTGAACTCTGCAGCACTGGAGAAAGACCGATCCTTGCATGGTCAGCACACAAGTGCGTGCATATCCTGAACTACCTGATTCCCAAAGGACAGTGGTAACTTCTGTCCCGCACAGAGACAAGAGGCTGTTCTGCAAGAGATGCTTATGCCATTAATTTTCTTTCCATTCGTGCCTGTGTCAGAGAAGGCTGGTGAGTAGATCTGAAGAAGAAGAGATTAGAGAAGTTATCTAGAGGGGAGCTAGAGTGTTTGCCATAGAGGGGGAGTACAGTGATCAGGCTGCACCAGTTACAGGCCAGGTGATACTACGAATGTAGCCAGCACAGCCCTAAGGTTTCCACAAGGAATAGGATGTGCTTCAAATAGTCTACACTGTCATCCCACAGTCGGGACAAAGCACCGTGTAAGAGCTACCCTTGTAAAACAAAAGAATAATGGGTACATCTGCCAGACAAATCCAACCCAGACTCAACAGAAGCTTTTAGGTAATGGCAGCAGTATTTCATTTAAACTTACTTGAGAGAATGAGACCACAGACAAAGAACTGGGACATGTTTTGACGTTGGATAATAAAAAATTGCAGCCCTGGCAGTCTACACTCAAAGTAAACATTTTTTCCCACATTAGGGTATTATTCCAAGCTGTCTCTCAGACATTGCAATAAACACTTTATCTAAACTGGGTTTGCTACAGATGTCCAGGTAGTATTGTACCAGCTGGCTGTGAACTCACCCACCTGTCCAGAACCAGTAGGTAAATACTGTCTGTAGCATCATTCAAGATGCACAATGGTCACCCAAAACCCCCGCATATGTTCAGCCTGTGCACCGCATCAGCATGGGTGCTGCCAGGCTTGGTCAGATGAAAAGTTCTCAAATATGCACTTTCATGTCATGAAACAAGTGTTTTTCACAGTATGCCTGATGAGGGAGGTTAAGTCTATAGGACAGCAGTCAGCTTTGCTGAAGTCTAAATATAACATTCCCCCATTAGGCATCAGTAACAGGCTATTGGCCACAAAGGTGTGTTTAGACTCTGGCCTACATCTAAAGAGCACATGAGCAATACCCACAAAGTACTGGTTAGCTGAGCCACTCTGTGCTACTCCAGCCCAGCATGTTACTGACCTGCTGCTCGGGCAAGGCTCAGCAAATTACAGGTGTATTTGTGAAGGCCATGAGATCTCTTCACTCTCTTGGTACCTGCAGCCCCCAGGTGCCCTGAAACAAACCTAGATAGTGAGAAAAATCAGGGCCTCTTCTCCCACTACCCCTGAAAGCTATCAGCAATAAAAGGCAAGGGTAGGAACACTGAGCAAGCAGAGACTCGCAGACCTGAGCAGTGACAGTGCAAAGGATCCTATGGGACCTGCTAGCGGTCCCCAAAGAGGATGTGTTCTGAGGGCACTCTGGAAAGCAGGTATTTTTCTTCACCAATAGAGTAAACAAACATGTTTTCCTTGGAGCCATTCCACATGTGCACACACACACAGAATACAGCACACAGCAAACAAGCACAGACTGGTTCATAAAGCAGAATTTTGTCCAGAGGCACGGGTAAAGCTTTCCTAGCTTCATCTACTCTGACGTGTCTCCCTTGGTACCCATTCATTTCTGGTCACTCCCCTTGTCTACTCACTGCATAATGTGTCCTTTCAAATCACACCGTAGCCTCAGAATAGTCTCACTCTCACCAAAACTGGTGCTGTTTCCTTCAGAAACCTGCTGAAAAATCTGTCTATATTGGAAAGCCTTCCAGCTTGAGCACCTCTCATGCTGCTCTGAGCTTGGTCAGGTCCCCTTCCTGACACCTGTGCCTTTGCAATTTGCTGGAACTGGGGCAATGATATTTATTTGACGCAGTGCCTCATATGCCAATAATACTCTGCAATAACAACAGCCATGCTTGCAAGACATTGGGTTGTCAGCGATAAGAGCAGTTGCCATGTGGATCATAGCTTAGCACTTGTGTTAGAAAGACCAGAAAGTATTTCCCCTCCTGACTAGAAATTGGGAGCTCCCTCTGCAGACCTGTCCTGATCCTGCAGTTTCGATACAGGCAAAATGCCATTTCTGCCACTTGCCCTGTCCCCAAACATGGGGGGGTCCTGGGGTCCTGCATGGGTCCTGCTGTCACTGCCCAGGGAGAGGGAACAGCTGGAGCACATGAGGCTGTGGTTTTCTTACACATGAAAAACTGCAGCTTCTCAGTGTGGTGTAAGCAAAAGAGCGAATAAGCAAGAATATACAGCATGGGAAGTAAGGAGAAGTAATGGAAGTAAGAAGTCCCTGGGGGGGCTGGGAACCTAGCAAGGCAACCCCAAATCCACTGCAGAAGTGGGCAAGGAATATCCCCAAGAGCAAGGCATCCCATGGCCTTGCTTGAAACAAGAATACAGCAAGCCCTGAAACCTAGAGTTGCCAGCAAGTCCAAGAAGAGCACCTAACCAGAGCCAAAGCAGTTTTCTGAAGAAGGTAACTGCAGATACAGGGCACTAAGCCCAGTGTCCTCTCTAGCACTTTCTCCACAACTTACTAAATACAGCTCAGCATAAAATCGCTGCCTTCTGTTCCCACGCAGTCCCTATGCGGTCAGCGTGCGTGTCCCTAGGCCTCAAGGCAAGAGGCCCTATACAAAGGTCATGCTTGTTTTGAGCACGTGATGTTTAAGATGGCAGCCAAAGGGAAAGGCGAGAAGGGAGAACAAGCAACAGAAGACAAAACCAAACATGTTCAGTTTTAGTATGTTTAATAGACTTCGTAATCTACAGACACCACAAGCCAATGTCAAACTAAGGGTGCAGGAGGAGTACAAAAAAAACCCTTCTGCTGAAAGATGAGAAGGGACAGTGAAAAGAAGTATCAGCAAAGGTGGTTTTCAGAGGGATGCTGATGGAAAGGCTCGAGACTCAACGCTCTGATGGAAAGGCTTGCTTCAAAGTGAACATTACAAAAATTATCTCTTCACATTGTTGGTGGGTCCCATATTCAAAGAGGCAGGAAAACAAGGGTGAACCATCTGGCCCAACCCCCATGTACTGCAGATCCGAATAAGCACAGAAGCCCTTGAAGAGGATGCTTGGTTTTGTCCAATGTGCTGGATTTAAAGGGCTTTTGTTGAGGTAAATTCCTAAGTCTCTTCGACTCTTTGGGTCTGTAGGATGAGCGTAGAGCAACCAACTATCTTGGCATCTGGCATCAGGGGGGGGTGGGAAGGCAGTAACACTTCCATGACATCCAGAGGGAGGTTCTACTAGCATTTCAACCCGCTGGCCTCCCTGAAAGTCCACCCCATGGTTGTAGCTGACAGCCTGGATTCTGACGCCCCTGCTGCTCCTTGCATTGCAGTAGAGGACCTTCCTGCCACAGGTGTGCACCTCCGCTACCTGGCACTCCACCGCACTCTCCTCCCCCACGAAGTTCCCCATCTCCCACGTTGTCCCGTGGTCAGAGCTGATGAAGCAGAAGGCATGAGGGGTGGGATGTTGCTTAGGGTCCAAGATACGATAGGCATAGGCAGGAATCACAAGGCTCCGGGCCTCATTGAGCAACTGTAATCCATGACCCGGCCCCACTGCAAAAGTTGCCCAGTTCTTGTACTCGGTGCTAATGGTACCATTGGTGACATCCTGGGCAGTGCTCCAGGTGTGTCCTTGGTCCATGCTAGTGACGTAGCAGAGACGTACCAGGTTGATCTTTGTCCTGAGCTGATGCTGCTCAGAGATCTTTCCTGGGACAGCTATGAAGAACAGGATCAGTTTCCCTGAGACCTCATCATAAACAGGACAGGGGTTCATAGATCGGTGGTTTTTCAGCTGCGCACTGACAATGGTCTCCATGCTATTCCACTGCCAGGGCCCATGTGAAGGGAGACAAGAATGAACACACCATTACAAATAGATCCATGTTAGAGTGTAAGGATGCCTGGATAAAAGCTACAGAAGAGCATGAGAAGAACAGAAGAGAAGCAAGTTAGTGGATAGAGCAAGAAATGGGAAAACAATATACCAGCATCGCCAAGCATAAGTGAAAGTTATTTGGATGACACAATGCACATGCACTTCACCAAACAGGTGCATTATGTTCTTTTTAATTACTACTCACTGAGGAGCTGACAGCTCTGTGTCTCAATGCAGCTAGTGTCTGATGACACTGTTTAAAAGACTACAGTAGCTGAGTCTTCAGAAATTCTCACAAATATATATGACACACAGACATGCCCAGTGGTCAAAGTGTGCTGGTACAGACACTGTGCTGTGTCAGTGTTTCTTAGAAAGTCGGCTAGATAACTGAGCCCTTTTCAAATATCCTGGATGCTGACAAATTCCTTTCTATTCAGACTCCTATTCCTCCATTTTGATCTGTGTATGAATGGGCATCCCAGCCTACACTGAAGCCCCTCGCTAGAGCTGATTGCATGGCTTTACACAGTCCGGTGTGGAAATTTGGACCCCAAGTTGTCCGATGCAGAAAACAGGTCACAGAGCAGGTATAACTACCCTCTGAGCCCTGTTTGTCTTTAAATGACTAGCACATAACACAATCACATTTCTAACACTAACATTGCAATTAGAAAATTATTCCTACGTAGTGTTATTGGCTTGGTAAAAGAAGCAGTATTTTCCAGTAAGATTATACTAATTAGCTTTTCTACCCTGACTTGCTGATTACCCTTTTTGGTCATGTCTTATCTTTGTCTATTCAACCAGTATTAACTTTTTTGGAATATTTAATATTTCCATTTTAAGAAAGTCTAGCATGTGAACACAAATTACTAAGTTTATGACCAACTGAGCCCTACTTAACTGAATTACAGGGGGTTACACTTACACAAGATGTTACCTGAATGGTATGACACTGCAGGTGCGCTCAGAGGCTGCTTCTGCTAGGCAGACTCCAGCTCTTAAGAGTCTATAATCTGAGACAACCAGTCACCAATGAAGGATTGGAATAGAAAGAGATAATGACTAAAAAAAAAAAAAAAAAAGACACACCCCCCCCCCCCCCCCCCCGCAAAACATTAACGCATTTTCAAATGCAACAAATGATTATAAATAGAGTATCCACCACCTCCAGTCATCCAGCAAGATAACTTAATCTACCCACTGGTAGATTAATGAGGTAGCCAATTCACTGGCACAGACAAACTAGACGACCCTCTTTCACGTGGGGAGACTAGCTGTTCTCAATTGTTTTTTAAACCAGAAATTAGTCCTAAGAAGATGAATTAAAAAAAAAATAGTCACTGATTGCTAATTCACTCCTCCCTGTCCCTGCGGCACTCCCCATTTCTGCCTCTCCTTCACATCTTTGCTGTTGCAACAGGACTTTTGTCCCATCTCTCTATCTGCTTCCCCAGCTCTGCTATGATGGGTCAAAGCCATCCCCAGAAAATCTGCTGCACCTGCTCACGTTAGTCCCCCTAACAGCTGCCCAATTATGGGGTTGAATCCCAGCAGTTATAATGACACATGCATTACTTATAAGCAGATTTGTCTCCTATAACTGGGGAGAAGGAGAAGCTGCACTCTCCCTACAGCGAGAGGGCAAACACATTCAACTCATCTGGGGACAAGGGAGCAGTACAGTTGGGCAGTCTCCCCTGTTCTCTCCCCACACTGGTACCTGAACGTGGTGCGTGGTTGGGTCATACACGCCTCTGCGCATCGCTATTAGCTTGGCATGTTCATCCACCACATCCTCTCGTTCCTCAGCAAATGCCAGGATGATGCTGAAACGCGGCAGGTAGAGCAGGGCTGGAATTCGATAGCTCCAGGTACCGTTCTGAAACAACGTCTCTTGCTTCAAGACAGGAAACGAAGCCATCGTGCTAGGGGGAAGAAGACAAAATGCATTGCTAAAAGCCCTGCAGAATGTAATGGGGCAGATTCCATTGCTTCTTGCCCTCCCTGCTCAGTGGAACTTGTTCTGCATTGAAACATAATTCCTGCTACTTTCAGCTTTGTCTTTTTCTTGTGCTTTTCCAAAGAGAACCGATGTGTTGCATACTAGCTAGCAACACAGACTAGACTTACCCCAGGAACAGCCTGGTTGATCTTACTGGAGTGATGTAAGGTAAGTACGCTAAATACAGTTAATGAAAAAGCTGTCTGTGGTTTGTTTTTTCTCTTTAATTAAATTCACAGGCTGGGATTTTTGTGGGTTTGCTTTGTAATTCAGAAGATTGTTGTTAATCAAACATTATAGTATTTTCCCTCAGAAGACCATTACTGTCTTTGTTGATAGTGTTTCCAAAACCCAGCACAGAACTTCTGCTTTGCCAAATATGAGCTTAAAATCCCATGTAAACAACACACTGAGGCAATCCCTGAACCCAGCTGTGCCCCTATTTGAGGATGGTAAGCACTGAGCATGAAGAGAGAAAGAAAGAGAACATCCCTCCCCCCGTAAGATTAAAGAACAGTCTGAATGGTGTCCCACCGCATTGGGTGGGACTTCTGGCCAGGCAAAAATTGTGTCATCTGTACAGTGACTTAAAAGCAACATTAGGAAGGCAAACATGAGGGGGCGTTTAGGGAAGCTGCCTCTATCTAACTGGTCTATGCTATGCCCCCACATAGTCTCTCTTCTCCTCAGAAGTGACCCACTCAGCCCTCTGTCTTCTTGCACCAAGCCTCTCCTGTGAGCTCATTTTCCCCTGAGCCCGTGGGTTTTTACCAGAGTATTATGTCGGGGGGGGGAAGGGAGAAAAAAGGATCTCTGACATGATGCACCAGAAACTGAAGGCCTGAATATCCTCTGCTCAGCAGGGCGGGGCGAGAAAAAAAACACTTTAAAAAATGGTTAAAAAAAAATCAAGCCTTAGATCTCTGACGCATTGAGTGGGTAGGATGGCAGGGAGAAGATGACAATACACTATGAGTAAGACATTCAAATGCCTCCTACCTCAGCTGAGGCAAGACTTGCTGTGCTCTTTGTTGAGGATTCTCCTATTTACCTAAATCTTGGAAAGCACTGGAGTGGCTATTGGCCATGTATCACATCCTTATGTTTGAAGGCTGTCTTGGTAATTCAGGACCAGATGGAGGCAAATTGAAGATTGCTTTGCTGCTGCAGAGTGCACATACCTACCTAGAGAATAGTTTCCACTCTTCCATATTACAAGAGAAAAGATTATATTAGCCAGCATAACTAACATAAACTTGGTTAACAATTGTTTTGTATTTATTTATTTTTTTTAAACAGTGCTGATTACCGAGTTAGAACAGCACAGATAAACTAAGTTCATCTTCCTCAGATGGGACCATCACATTATGCTCTATCCAGATCCATAGCTAGGCAGTGAGCATTCAAATATTCCTTGCTTTCACCTTCCAGATGCTATAAATATCAGTGAGATTTTTGAACTCACAGCACTGATCAAAAGGGTGTGAGAACTACACTGTTTTAGCTAAAGCCAGCTGTACAGACCCCAGCAAGCCACAGCCCCATTGCCACTCAGATGCAAAGCCACTGGAGATAGAAGCCTATCTCCAAATGGTAGCTGCTCGCTCCTTACTGTCACTGACAACATGGCAGTCTGAGAAAAAGCAGCAGCACCGCTACTATACAGAAATGTTATCAGAATTTGATCGCAGCTATCCATGCAAGAACATGAAGAAAATAGGAAGACCTTCCTGGAACAGATAACTGTGCTGTTCACTACTTACCAGCATGGATCTGGCTATTTATATATACCACAGTTGTGGCTGTGTTCTCATGGCTCCTGAAACAGAAGCTCACTAGAGTGCTTCCAGACTGTTTAAAGGGAGATTATTTAAAGGGAGATTAGTCAGCCTGCCTAGTGCAACTAGGCA